GTTGCCTGAATAAGATTACCATTCATGAGTTCTATGCACTTGAACTTGGAGATATTTTTCTTATCTTTAGCTAGCCCTGAATATGCTCCTCCACTTTACTTTTCTTTTTTTACTAGCTTTTACACTTGTGAGTTTTTAAAGTCAGATTTTGTGCCCTTTTTTCTTCATTTAGGCAAAATCTTCTATTTTTAATAATGTTGGAGCTTGCTTGACTCCACATATTAACTATACCAGTGGATCCATTGATTCAGGAAAACCTGCTGAGGAGACTTGACCGTCTTTGCTCCCTCTTTCAACTTTCAACTTCCTTTTCAATAATCCACTCCGTTTTTAGAGCTTTCCTGTCTTGAAATCAAATGTAATTGTGCTGGACCTCTTTCACAGGTTTTCAGTTGAACGTATCCGAAGCTACCTTATAATGTATCAGAGTAATAGTTTATTGAGCCCAATGCCATCTATTCCTACTGCCACTGATTCTCTAAGTTCTCAGGCAGAGAGAGATTTGATACTCTGAAATATCCAAGATGGAATCTAGCTAGATCCTTCTGTATGCCAAACATGTGCTCTAGCATCGGTTATTGAGTTGTAAGATTTCATCCTAAATAATACAGCGGTCTCTCCACATTTGCTGGGGTTAGGGCTGAAGGATCTCTGTGACTGTGGAAAACCCACAAATTAAAAAAACCAACCCTATTCTTTTTACTTAAGGAGATTATCTCATTAGATTATAAACTGGTTTACCTGAGCCAACTTAAAATTAGAAGCAGGCGGCATCCTGATAGTATCAGATGCATTTAGCTGCCGAAATTGCTGCCCGGCTGCAGCCCAGCTCCATTGCCACTCCAAGGGGCACTCCTCGTGCCTCTTTTCGAAGCAGGGACTTTTCCGGCTTGAAAAAATGGCTGCTGGAGCGCCCCTTAGAGCGGGGATAGAGCCGGGCTGCAGCCGGGTGGCGATTTTGGCAGCTAAATGCATCAGATACTATCAGGATGCCACCCCCTTCTAATTTTAAGCCAGCTCAGGCAAGCCAGTTTATAACCTATTGCGATAATCTTCTCAGAGAATACCTCTCTATGAATCTCCAGATCTTCCAGCACAACTCTGGAGCCAGCAGTTGATCATAGAATCATGCTGGAGGACCTACAAATGCCTAGAGAAGTGTTTTCTCTAGGAACTTCTAGGTTCTCCAGCACAACTCTATGGTCAACATCTGGCAAATTTACACCTGAGGACCTAGAGATTCCTAGAGAGGACATATTAATTAAAATCGCAAATAATCAAATCCACAAAAGTCAAAGCCACAAATGTGGAGAGCCAACTGTACTCTAGATGTAGGAGATTATCACATGATATAAACCGGTTTACCTGAGCCGGCTTAAAATTAGAAGCGAGCGGCATCCTGATGTTATCAGATGCATTTAGCCTCTGAAATCGCTGCCTGGGTGCAGCTCAGATCCATTGCCACTCGAAGGGGCACTACTCGTGCCTCTTTTCAAAGCTGGGAGTTTTCTGGCTTGAAAAAATGGCCACCAGAGAGCCCCTCTGAGCAGTGATGGACCCGGGATGCACCCAGGCGGGAATTTCAGTGGTTAAATCCTTGTGATAAAATCAGGATGCCGCTTGTTTTAAATTTTAAGCCAGCTCAAGTAAGCCAGTTTAACTGCTTATGCGATAACCTTCTCAGTCAAGGGTTGCCTTCCCTCTAATCTAGGTCTGTGACTAAACTGTTCAAAACCATAACTATCCTATTTAGAAATGTTATCTCCATCGCAGTCATAACATATATTTAGCTAGATAAACTGAATCTGCCCTGCAGAAATAATCCAATTTGATGCCACTTTAATTGCATGACTCATTGGTATGGAATTCTGGGAATTGTAGTTTTGTGAGACATTTAGCTTTTTATGGCAGAGAGCTCTGGAGCCACAATAAATCACAATTCCCTAGCGCTAAGCCAGGGCAGTTACAGTAGTCTCAAACCAGATTATTTCTGCAGACTCTGGAGTTTATTGCGCCGCTAAAATAAAGCATTTTACCTCTCCCAATTCAATTCTAATTTGGCCAGCATCCAGATACTATTGCAGGGATTTTGCTGCTGAATCTGTTGCCCTACAGCCCGGGTCGAGCCCGGAGCCCTGGTGTTCTGAGCATGTCTGTTTTCCAAACTGGATCCGGACTGTATTTAGGCAGCAGATTCGGCAGCAAAATCCCTGTGTTAGTATCTGGATGCTGCCTGAATTAGAATTGAGTTTGGGAGAGGTAAGATGCTTCATTTAGCAGAGTGATAAGCTCCTGAGACAATTTCTGCAGTGTGGATGCAGTCTGAGACAACAACTCATGTCCTCAGAGGCTGACCAGGGAAAAGCCAGTGTTACCACTCTTAGAATACTTCATGCATACCCCTATTTACCCAACATCTCATAGATCAAACTGGATTATTTCTCCAATGCAGGTGCAACTATAGTTTCCTTAAGACTGAGTGTCTCTGGTGTTTCTATTCCCTGTGTTTTAACTGTTGACGCACAACAGGATCCAGAGCATCCATCTCCTCCTCAATATCTGCAGGTGCTGCCTGGGGTGGACTAGATTCTGCCTCTATCACAACAGGACTGCCAGCTTCCTCTGGCTCCAGCTGGGATCATAATCCTGGCATGCTTCTTCTTCATAATCCGAGAAGACCTCCTCCAGGTAAGGCATGACAGCATCTGGCATTCAGGAGCATCATGCTTCTAATTTTGGAGATAGTATATCGCTAGCAGGACTGGTAGTTACTGATAGTCTTATCCTTACATTTGTCTAATCCTCTTTTGAAGTCATCTAAATTGGAGAACATCGGTATATTATCATATCCTGTGGGTAGCAAATTCCTATGCGCTGCATGGCAAAGTACTATCTCCTTCGTCTCCCACTACCTTCATTGGATGACTCCAGCGTTCTTGCATTAAGAGAAAACATGTCCCTGTCATTAAATTATTGGAAGGATGAGCTGCTATTTTCCACAGCAAGTGATTCTGTGCAGAATTTTGGTTCCTCCTAAAATTCTGAGTGTATTGGATTCTATGTCCTTTTTGCACAACTCTCTCTACCTTTTTGTAGATTTCGTATTCAGGAATTAATTATATGCTTCTCTTTTAAAAGTTGCCTTATGTTCCAAATATATAAGCTTGCTGCTGGTTTGTATATCTGTGACACTCCCTTGTGCTGTCTTCCAGCTCATCTACATCTGGTGTCCACAGAAGGCAAGGAAGTCACCATCTGGTTAATACACCAGTGACAAAACCATCTTTCATAACTCTGTGTAGATGTTCACCTGCAAGGATGTAGGGCTGAGCAGTAGGAATGCACAGCAACATCACCTTGAATATCATTAAAATTCCTGACCTTGGTATGTTGATCAAACACTGTAACTAAACACTATTACAGAGCCCTGCACATAATCTGGAGTTTACTGAATGAAGATCTAGAATGCTGGCAGGCGCATAGCCATGCTCAATGATAGGCATTATGTGCCCATGACCCAGCAGGCAAACACTTGCATAGGGCTTTAGTACCTATCAAATATACAATTATTGATGAAAGCAGTGGACCCTTGGTATCCATGGGAAGTTCTAGAAGCAAACCTCCATGGATATCAAAATCCATGGATGCTCAAGTCCCATTAAATACAATTGCATAGTAAAACGGTGTCCCTTATATAAAATGGCAAAATCCAGGCTTGCTTTTTGGAATTTATATTATTTTAAAAAATATTTTCAAGCCACAGATGGTTGGATCGTGGATACAGAGGATCAATTGTAACTAATTCATTCATTTATTTAATTTGTATGCTACCACTCTTAGAACACTTCACACACCCCACACCCCCACTTACCCAACTTCTCATAGATGAAAACTGGACTCCTTACTTCAATTTTACAGTTTTCCAAAATCCGCAACATAGATTCCAATTTTATATTTAGCACTGAATGTAGTTTGGTTCTCAAC